TGTTCGATATCGTTCTTCTTGCTTGTAATCCACCTGATAGCGAACTGGATGAGCCGTTGGCTTTCGCCAAGCCTACCTGGTTTCCATCAACTTGATGAGGGCGTATCTTCGTTACAGCGAAGACAGACTCGTCAGCCACCTGATGCACTGGAATGACGTTCTACGACAAGATCTTGGGATGACAGCAAAGGAGTTCGTCAAGGGTACGGTGGCAAAGTTTTCTGAACCTCAGTCGCTGGGAGGATTGCAGCTGATTGATGATTGCATACCATTAACCTGGAACCAGTCGTACGTTGAACAAGGGTACAGCAGTGAGTGCTCGAAGAAACGCAATGCTGCAAGGCAGTGGGAAACCATCATCGACGAGATCAATATGCAGCGTCCTCATGAACGTCCAAATGCCCTGCTTCGCGAGGACGACCAATATCCTCCGAATCTTGGCGCACATCCATCATGGGCGTACAATTCCGGACGTGTCGTGGTGGAACGTCAACAGCCAGCACAAACACAGCATGTTCATCGAGTACCTATGCATCCCGGTTATGTTCCGCTTTCTGAAGTATGGGGTGGAAATCCATGGGGATCGAATGACGTGGAAGAGATGGAACCCACGCCAAAGGCAACGCCTCACTATGGACCGAAACGTGCAAGGACGGATGGCAGACCAGACTTGACGAGCTCTCAGAGCAGTCAAGCGGCCTCTTCGTCGACAGCACCGCCACCTCAACAACCAGAGCAAGAACGGAGCAGCGAGAGTGATTGGGCAGAAGTTCCTGTACCAGACGGGGCAGTTGAGTATTCTTTCGAGTTCTACAAGGAGGACTTGCAACGTTGCAGAGGAAAGCTGGTTCACACGGTGAATGACCCGGACACCTACACGTTTGCATACGACGAGACTCCACTGTACAAGCCCAATGAGAAAGAAGGAACGCTGCCTATCGAGCACTATGTGAGACGAGTGGCGGTCTATTTGGGACGCCTACAATCGGTGACTCAGAACAAGTCTGGTGGGTTGAATGTTCAAGTCTGCGTCAGAGCGAATACGACAATGTGGCTGCAGATGTATGCCCGGATGTATCATGGATGTGGAATTGGAACGTGTGAGCATTTGCCAACACCTGCTATGCTCACGGCTGCCGCACTTGTAAAGAATGACGACGACCTGAAGATGGACGAGAATGACACATGTGCATCTGCTGGTCCTGAGGTAAGGAAAGAGCGCACGAACGTGTTGCTTGCAGCGAACAAGATCAGGAACAACCTGGCAATTGGCGGGAAACCTGATGCTACCCTCATTCGCACTCACCTTCCTCGCGATGGACTTCGAGATGTATGCACACAGCAAGAAAACCACATTCTCATTGTCTGAAGCATTTCACAACAAGGGATGGCGCTGTTTGACAAAGCTATCTCCTGAACTACACACGCCTGTGAACTTTGAGCATACGATCAAAGTGTTCAGTCTCCTGAAGCAGAAGGTTATGGCCATGAATGAGGATCAAAGGGCAACGTCGACGGCAACGTCAACGGTCCATATTCATCTATGCCTGCAAGCGGTTGTGTACGAGAACATGGTTATTCCAGGGAGTACAGAATCCATGGTTTCCTTAGGCAACGTTGAGGAAACTCTGAAGCGTGTTTACTTTGACAACATCAAGGAAGTCATTGCCCTCGTGCCAAGGCCGCCCATCGTGATGATCAACCACGGCCCAAGATTTTACGCTTGTGCTCACTCAACGCTACGAAGACGCTCCGAAGGCTTTCAAGGATATGCTCATGCGTGTTCTTTTGTGGCCACGGAACTTCAGCTTCGAGGTTGCGTCGTTGTACATGGGTCATCATTCTGGTGCAAGTTGGTAAGTTCACTGACTCAGGCAGAATATGGAACTCACGTTGTCAACACTGATCAGGTGGCTCCCAACGATCCTCATCACCATCATCACAGAGCGTTCGCAGTATATGAGAAACAGCTGTTCTACGAGAAGATGATCGCCGCATGCTACGTGGATCCGCAGGTTTTGCGCAGATGCCAAGAGCTCATGCACTCCAAGGCCATCGAGATCCCACGCTTCAAGGACATATGGTCAGACAAAACCAGGCTTCATTTCGCATCTACCATGGACTCGAGCAGATGGATTTCCTCCGAAAGACTTCAAGCAATGGAAGAGGAAACCCGACGTGATGAAACAACTCGACGCCCTGGCAGAATGTGGCAGAACTTCGAAGTAATCCTTCAATTTCCAGAACCTGTGCATTGCTCGGAACAATATTGGTTCAAGATCGATGAGTACAGCGTGTCACGGATTGACACTGGAAAGAACGGCAAAGTCTTCTTCTGTCCTGGGTGCGAAAACCAGAAGGAAGAGACGAAATTCTGCAGGAGTCACACAGAGTTCGCACCCTTTAGTGGCTTCCCTGGGCAATGTATTGGTTGTGCCTTCAAAAGTGCACATTACACGACCTTCTACAAGGTGCAGCACTACGGGGAACTTCGGCAACATGAGAGGTACGCGCTGGCATGTGCTTACCACATCTACACGAATGATCTATTCGATCTTCGACCTGCCGATGATCTGATGGAGTTACTCCGCAGATGTTGTCCGATCGCCTACAAACAGGTGGGAAAGGTTGTTTCTTCTTATGGAGGGATAAGATGTCTCCCGGCGCAAGCATTGGATTTTCCTGTTTGGGGCAAAGCTAAACAACTGACATGGGATCGAGCGTACGATGAAGAAGGAAGTCTCTGCTATATCGCGTACTACGATGCCGGTAATGCTGCCGATGCTGGATTCCTGAAATCTCTGTTGTCTCCACAAGAAAGAGTCGATTCGTTCAGAGGAAGCGAAAACCCACTTGAAGAGTTGCTTGGGGATGTCTTCGAGCTTACCTTGGGCATGCTCACATTCGCTCTCCATTGGCCTGAACTATTCGATAAATGGGGGGACGTGGGCACCATCAATGCCTGCATCAATGGGTACGAGACGTGCTTCACCAGATACGCTGCAAAGGAAAGCCTCATGCTCATCAACTCGGGCTATCCAAGAAAGCGAAAACCAGCAAAAGCAGATCCCGCAATTGAAAGGGAAGTGCAAGACATCCTCAGGGCGTTGCCGGATGGTCGCTTCGTGGCAGCGCCTACAAGTGCAGAGTTACAACCACTCAGTGGGGTAACCAGCGCGGAGGCAAGGTCGTCAGACGATGCTTTTCTTGACACTTCACAAGGTGTTGATGTACCTCGTCTTGTACCTGATGAAGTGATGGAACCTGACGGACAACCAGAGGAAGAGAACCAAACCCCTGATACACAAACGAACACGAACATTGCGGATATCGTCAAGGCCAAGACGTGGGATGCTCTCAAGTTATTGTTCAAGTTAACGGGGAAGTTTGGGTGGCAGGGCAAGATGTGCATTTTGCGCGGAAGCCCACATCATGTGTTCGTCGATTGCAAGGTCGTAAATCCACTTCGTCAACAGGTCGCCGATGTGTTTGAGCACGTCAAGAAGGTGATCGAAACACACCCCGACACCATCGTCTTCCCGCCAGGCACTGTTCCGGCTCCTCAACCACATAGTGGGGAGAGAGCGTCAGGATCCAATGATCGAATGGATGTTGAAAGTGTCGCTTCTTCAGGGAGGAGGCCAAAGCCAAAAGCGCGACCAAGACAAAACAATCTCCAACAAACGGGAGGTGTCTTTGTCGTTCGGTATGGATACACAAAGAACTTGTCCAAACCAGTGCAGCGTCGCCGAGGAGACTACAACTTCGTGTGTGGTGAGAACATCTCTGAGATGGGTCTTCCGAGTCACAATGAACTTCTGGAGTGTATTCAGAAGAGCTCTTGCCCGAGAGATCACAGCATTCCGCAGCGTGGAGACCGCAGCCTGTATCGTCGACTTGAGTCTGGAGCATATGAAAATGCAGCATATGAGAACATCGCTGATGGTGTCTATGGTGGAACCCTTGAGAAGCTACCGCCACGTGGAGCGCAGTTTTGCCATCCTGCGTGGGACAACATCACCATTGCCAAACCACCGGACGATTACATGTGGCAGGCAGAGGATGCTGCAAAGACTGCACTCAGATTCATTCAGAAGGATCTCAGACACCACATTGGACGAGGGAACAACGCGATCTACATCGACAGGCGATGTGAATCACCAATTGCAATCATCAAGTGCGATGAGGGCGGTTGGGTAAACCTGGAATGGTTATTGTCATATGACCTTCTTTGGTGCCATCATTATCGGAAGATCGCATACTCTCTGCCCAGAGATCCTGATGCACGACAACGAGAAATGCAGCGACGGTTACAGCTTCTCATTGACGGCAACTACATCAACTACCGTGGTGGCGATGGTAAACTTCGTCTTCAATTTCTAGGCATCCGACTACGACCACCTGAGATCGTGCCCACAGACTTCAATGCTCTGGAGCCGGCGTTCTCCAACAGGATGGTTCATGTGGAAACGATGTTTGAAGAAATCAGACGTGACAGACGGACCGCAAGGTTGGGAACGGAACATCTCGAACAGACAGCGAACTGGATCAGACCATGGGCTATCCGCGCATCGGCGGGACATTCAGTCTCTGTGAATACAGTCATGGATCTTGACCCCTCGAAGTTCGCATTGTCAGCATCAATGACGCTCTTAAACCAGATTCAAGGCGCCTATCATGCCACTGAGATCTACAACCTGAACGCCATCGTCACTGAAGGCCTCAAGACCGGCAGCGATTTGATCAACGAAGAACTTCAGGAAGATTGCACAGCTACTCTGGAATCTTTCCTCCATGGGATCCAAGGAACAAGCTTACTCGTTGCAGGTGGCGGACTGATCAAAGGACACCACTGGTGACTTTGTTCGTCCCGATTGTTGAGTAGCACAGTATGTGCGAAGGGACATGAAAGTGAAGTCGCTGGACCCGCAGCACGGGCTCCAGCGACCTGTTTTGATCTCAGGGTCGTTTTAGTCATGGCAGCGTGCAGCCCTCGCGAGGTCGAGGCTGGCACTCGCGTGCTGTCGTGGTTGCAGGAGCCAGTGGGGAACATCGACCTTTACGACGCTGGCTTTGAGATGGTGCGGCATGTCTTGCTGCAGGCGTGGGTGGAGACGAATGCTCACGATCGTCTTCGCACAGCCCCCTTTCTGGATTTGCTGACGTCGCTTAAGCTGAGGTCCGATGTTCCAGTTTTGACAGCGACCCCTCTCGGAGGACATTCATCCTTGCGGCAGGCCCTAGAGGAGCGCCCTCAGGACGTTCGCCTTTTTCAGGACAGGGCAGTGTGGATGGCCGCCCTCACTCCGGAGTGGGGGCGGCTCAGTTCAGCGTCCGTTTCATCCTGAGCTGTGTCGACTACCCGATCCAGGACCGATTGTGTGCCAGGGCACGCGCGATATGTTCACCTCAGCGGTGCTCTTTCGTTGTTTCGGCAGTGCAGCAGACAGACGATCGATTCGCAATTTTAGGCTCAACGTGGCCGAAGAACTGTGGGCGACGCTTAGGCTCCGAGGTCTCACTCAGTTTGCCCCCACCTTTGTGACCTGTAGGGTGCTGGCAGTTCCGGAAATTCCTTTGCGGGCGGATCTCCTGTTCGGGGCAGGGGTGCCATCATGGGCCATTGAGCTGGCAGCCAGGGGCCCGGAGCCAAATACAGCTGGGACGGCAGCATCCTGGCCACCAGAGAGAAGTGGACGCCCCGACTTGCCCCGGGCTCCCACCATCAGGCGAGCTAGCATGCGAAGGCCCTAGCCTCGTTGGACCAGGACGTCTTGGCTTCGACCACGGTCGCCTCCAATCACTGTCGTGTTCGGTTTTATGAAGCCGTCTGCAGGGCATGGAATGTTGAACCATGGCCTCTGTCCAGGTCTACCATTCGGGCATTCGGAGTAAGTCTGAAGGCAGGGGCCTACAGGAGCGTGGCGGTCTACTTCAGCGCGATCATAGGCCACCAGTTGCGGACGATGTGGCAGGCCCCCAGTCCCGAGGTTAGACAGTGTATGCAGGACACGAAGAGGGCGGTTCTTCGTGGAGCAGGCCCGGCTCGCCTCAAGGACTTCTTCCATGTCCCAGACTTGAGGGCCGCTCTGGAGGGCCCAGAGGAAGTTTCGGGCTTTGTGGCAACGCAGCCACGCCATATGGCAGAAACACTGTTGCTCTGCTCGTGGTGGATGCTGCGGGAGATCGAGGCTGCCAATGCTCAAGTGGGTCATGTATCATGGAACGATTCCCGAGGTGAAGTTACGCTTATGCTGCCGGTTCAGAAGTGTGACACGAGGGGCATGCTGTGCTGCCGCACACTGAGGTGTGCATGCAGAATCGCGAGGCAAATTTTGTGCCCTTACCACAGCATGAAACGACACATGGAGAGGCTTGCAGCCCGCGGGCCCACCGCGATCTCCCCGAGGTCCCCGTTGTTTCCTGGGCCCAACGGGGGGGTTTTGACCAAGGAGCAGTTCGTGTCCGCAGCAAGGGCTACGTTGCAAGCCTGCGGAGTGCCTACAACTCGCGAGTATGAGGGTGTCCAGATGGAGCGGTTCACCGGCCACATTGCACGGATCTCCGGTGCCCAGTGGCTGCACAACCTGGGGGTTCCGATGCAGATGTTGCAGGTGTTGGGGCGTCCTGATGCATTCCTTGCGATCGTTACCCGATAAAAGAGCATCCTCATCAACTTTCTTAATCAACTCCGAAAACACACCCGATTTCGCAGAAGAAGAAGTAATCCTACTAGTCAAGCTCCTACGGTCTTCTTTGATGAACCTCAACCGCTGGGTCTTGTTGTTATAACCCGTCGTAGCCTTAAACCCTTCAGAAACAGAACCGCCTGCCTTACGCTTTCTACCAGCACCCCCATACTGCACAACAACACCGTTAGGCAACACTACGGGACGAACAGTACTACCCTCCTCCTTTTCCTTTTCCTCCTCCATATTCTCTTCCTCGGTGTCCGCGAGCATTGCAAGAAGGTTCTCCTTTTCGGACTGCCGCTCCGAATTAACCTTTGTTCGGGTAAGAGCATTAAATCTTATCTTTGAAAAGTATCTAAACAAATGTTACTTAAACATGTTGAACCCAGTGACTTGCCACTGCTGATCGTCCACAGGGATGCCCATATCAGCGATCTTCTTCATCAAGGTATCCATTATGTCGGTGCCATAGAAGTCTACAGTAAAGAAGTCGGTGCCATTCTTGACATGGATCGACCTTTTTTGGTTGAAGCCTTCATCGTTCCATGACTGGTCATCGCTGATGACGGAAGCGTCTTCTTTTGCCGTAGTGATGTTGTCGCTGTCAGGATATTCAACGTCATCTTCGTCTTCATCCTTACTACGGTTAAACCCAAAACTCAACCGCTATATACACCAACTTGAAATACAACCCAAACGGTCCCGAACTGCAACACAAGGATCGGTGTCCCCATCATCTGGGTAGACAATTAACATGTCCGTGATATCGGGCGGAATTTGAAGGGTACTAAGGAGGGGTAGCTCTTCGTCGTCAAGGTGTTCACCACTAACGTCATCAAAAATGGTTTCAGTAATTCGACCGTAGACACGAATTGTCGCAACTCCCGTCCACCCCGTGAATCCTTCGATCTGCCCAAAATCAAAAGTGGTTGTAGATGAGCTGACATGCAAGATGCCTTCACCGAGAAGTTCACCGCCGTGAAAATTAGTCTGGCGCACAATGTAAACTGTAATGTCTCGTGTTCGCTCCTTGAAAACTGCATAGAAATACAACCCTAAATACCAAATAACCGTCATCAGCAGCTAGCAAAACCAAAAAATGCTCCATTACAATCAAAGAAGCCGGTATATGTCAACGCAAGCGGTTGCAGGCGTGATGTGCAAAGTTCTCACAGCTGGCGCATTTAGCGGCTCATTCTCTGCAAGCTGAGCTGAAAGGTGCATAGACGCTTGAAGGTCACCATGAACGTCAAAGAGCGTCACGATATTGGCTGCGAACCACCCCCCGGTATGGAATTTTAGTTCCCACGAAAGACATAGGCGTAGTTTCATTGATGG